TCCTTGCTGGCTTCGTCTGCAGTTACAGGTGGTTTAAAGTCCGAAGAAAACCTGCCGCATCCTCGTCGTCTAATTAAGCGTCAGCATCCCCTTCGTCCAACCCAACGAGCCCGGGATCCGTATAGTCGTAACCGACATAGAACAAGTCGGCCGAACGATAGGATCGGCTTTGATAGAACAGCCCCCAAACAAAGCAGTAGTCCGTTTTTTTCTGCTGCTTCCGGCTCTGATATTAATCGACTTATTAAACAACCCCATCTTGATTCTCAACCTCTCCTGCCAGGAATGCTATTTTCCACCAACCGACTTAAGCGATCTAGCCACTCTGGCACAAAAGAGATGGCTAGTGGGATGATCAAGAGAGCCAAGATATTGGGGACAGTTAGACTTAAGCCCGACGACGAGAATAATAAGATCGACAAGATGGTAACAGCGGATAAAAACGGAGCAATCGATGAATGGGTTGTTAATGATATGAGTGCAGGTAGGGTTGGCGGAAAATCAGCCTTTTCAATCATCCCGGTATCACAAGTTCCACACGTTCATCAGTCTTCTGATCCTCATAGAATACATCGCAACATTGCCTCTTCTTCTTCCTCTTCTTCTATATCGTTGGTCGCACTTCGACGTCTTTATGGATTAATGTTATTCACTCGTAGCCAGCGTTGTCAGATGCTTACTCAAGCAGCCAGTTTGGCTCTCTCGCAGATTATCCCGCAATCACCTTCTCTCCAAGAGCTCACTCATCCCTCTTCTTCTCAATGAGGTTACCATTCTTAATCGCTTGTAAATGGTGTTTGACCAACGTTCTTTTTCTCATATTTTTCGGCATCTCAACTATAAGATGGCCAGCTCAATCAAACCTGATATTTTTCAACCAAAATGAACCAAAATGCCTTTTTGACTCAAATTGATTCTTCTGCATTTTCAATCGCCCATCTCCCTCTTGCCTATTCCTTTTAATCCCATCTACCCTATTCTGATGTCTGTTGATCGTTATCATTTCATCCAAATAACATTAGCTTGATCAGCATTTAATAACCAGCTTTCTTGTTTTATATGCTTTTATTAAGTTTAATCCAGTGCAATATATATATATATATGTGTATATATATTTATATACAAATATACGTTCAAACATATTCAATTGTGCGTCACTTGCATTTATGGATGTAGTTCCATATGCATGTTGAGATGCACTCAGCTTAGAAGACTTCTTTCCCATTCCTTTCCAGATTTTTCGCTTTTTTCGGCATGCGAATTAAATTTTTCTTTGTCTGCAGTCCTTTGTATTTTTATACTGTTATCTTTACCTGGCTACGTTTAAGAAACTTCTGCCCCATTCCTTCTTTAGATGTTCATTATTATTATCTTTCTATTGCATTTATTTGTCTAATTTGATTACATATGAATGGACATAAATAAAGCGGCAACTCAATTCATCTGCAGTTTATATTCTCATTAATAACTCTACTACATCTGAACCTTTCTT